TTTTCACCTTATTTGGAACAAGGCGTCATATGGTTAAAACGAACTCGGGCTATCCCAAACAGGGGATTCAACAATGACGGCGAGGGGGTAGCAGAAAACAGACGACAAACTGCACTACAAAAGGTTAAGACTTTAGAATTAATGCTCGGACAAATTGCCAATTATTGCCCCGTGATTTCAAGGAAATCTATTGTCAAAAATTCTACATCGTTATCCTCTATATGACAGTCAATCCGTCTTCACTATTGTTTCCAGTCAACCGGAAGCCATTTCTGGGATTTCGATATCAGTTTAGGCGTCGAAGAACGACCTGAAGATCTTTACCAACGCTTGACTGCATTCATAGAAGATAATCTTATCTTAAGAGATTCTGGCATAACTCACCACGGTGGTGCCATTCACGAGGATGAGGAATGCTCACCTACGGTTGAAAATTTGATCGTCAATCTCACAGGCTCTCGATTCTGAACATGAGGAAATTCGTACAGCCGAGGACGTGCAAGTTATGCGAAGTCAAACTTCTACTTTCCAATAGAAGAGTAATTCCCAATCTACGTTTAAGTCTTGTCCCTTATGTGTAGCATCAGGAAGAGGGTCTAGTAAGCAATTTCTTAGCGAGTGTAAATTCCTTCCAGAGAAAGATCGCAAGTATATTCTGAGGGCTCGTCAAATTGACTCTGACTCTGGAGCCACAGGGAATATGATTATCTTCCACGAAGCTCACAATCTGCTCGTCAGGCCGATGGTACTTCCAGTCTAAAAATTCTTGGAGAAACTAAATTCACTCTTCAACGAGAACGAGAAACTTATATTTTGAGGGTTTAGTTGTCGAAAGATCAGACCGGCCCTAAAGCGGATCATTTTTAGTGATGGTAAGTTTATTTCCTACTACTTTAAGGAAACTGATCAGTCCCACACAGTTCGAAGGACTATTGTGATGAGAGCTCCAGACAGGAAGACAACAATATGGCCTGGTGAATATCTCGAATTGAACGTGCCACCTGATTATCTACGTGACAATATTGTTGCTATCGAACCGCGCCAGGACACCAGACACCACAATACATCTACTACTACAACATGGCCACCCCCTTGTGTAATCCCATGTATAGCTAGGCAAGTAAGGATCCCAAACGAATCAGGCGTTCCACAAACTTTGAAGCAGCATGAACATTTTTGCGAGGTATGGGCTGTATACACTCCTGGCCTACGCGAAACATCTCATAACTTGTCAAAACCAAAATGTTCTACTACTCCTTCGGATCTTCATTCTGCCAACGTCAAGGTTGACCCACACGAAATCTTACCCACAGAAACAAGAAAAGATTTTAGGGACATGTTAACAGACTTTGATGACATTTTCAGTTCTATCTGTGATGACTACAATGGTGCTTCTGGAAGATTACCACAGCATTCACGTAATCGTCTCCCTGAATTACAACATATTATGTTCGACAACTTGGAACAGAAAGGCGTGTTTAAACGGCCTGAGGATATTGGTGTTCATGTCGAATATCTTAATTCATTCCTTGTGCAGAAGCCTTCTGGAAGATTCCGACTTGTCACTGCGTTTGGCGATGTTGGCCGATACAGCAAGCCTCAGTCGTCTCTCCTCCCTGACGTTGAATCCATTCTTCGTCAAATAAGCCAATGGAAATACTTAATCACAACAGATCTATAGTAATAGTAATAGTAAAAGTTTGATTTATCGCTACTAAAATTAAAAAGTTGTTTGAATAATAATTAAAAAGCTTTCCTAAAATAGTGAGTTTTTAGTTTCTGTTTAAAAATATTCAAAGACTCACAAGAGCGCAGTTCTATTAGTAAACTGTTCCATAGATATTGGGCCCGGTATGAAAAGCCAAGTTATGGATGCATTTAAAAGTCATCAGGGCAATTTTATATCGAATACGATAAACAACTGGTAACCAGTGTAGAGAGAATAATAATGGTGTGATGTGATCAAAACGTCTTGAACCAGTTATTAGACGAGCAGCAGAATTTTGTACAAGTTGTAATTTATTTGTTAGTCGATGAGGAAGTCCTGGGAGAAGAGAGTTCATGTTGTCCAGCCTTGAGGTTACTAAAGCATGAACAAGTGATTTTAGTGCATCGCTGAAAATGTATTTTGTTGTTCCGGAGTTGATAGTGACAGTTCTTACATGTATTATTGATTTGGAGCTCCATGTTCAGTCTCTTATTAAATATAACATCAATATTTCTTGCAGACTCACTCTACTGTATTAGGGAGTTTCCAATTGAAACAGACAGAATACCGGTGTTGTCAAGTTTAGAGAGGGGGTGATTAGAACCCATAAGCAGGTACTCTGTTTTACTGTCATTCAGTTTGAGGAAATTTGATGACATCCATGTACAATTTCTTCAAGGCACTGTTGTATCCGAAACTTGGATGGGACGAATTCCGATTCTGGTTTAAATGCGATGTAAAGAACAGGACCGAGGACCAACACTTGAGGAACATCATAACGGAGATGGGCTTTAGGAGAGTAATTGTCATCTATTACAACTCTTTGACATCGGTTGTGGAGATATGATTTTAGGATTCTAGAATGTCATGAGCATTACCACTGATTCCGAAATCAGATGTAAGTCTATCTTGCAGGATTCCATGATCAACAGTATCAAAGGCGGCAGACAAATCTAGTAGGATGAGGAGAACACAGTTTTTAGAATCAATTGCGTTCAGAATGGCATTTTGCACCATGAGTAAGGCTGTCTCAGTGGTGGCACTCTGAAATACTTCCAATAGTTGAAATTCGTCCACATGATCTATGATTTGTTTAGCAATACATTTTTCAAGAACCTTAGATACATAGTTTGTTGGAGACAGGCCGGTGGTTTTTGAAGTCATCTGAATACAGTGATGGTTTTTTAAGAAGTGGTGGTTTGCACACTTGAACGATTCAGGAAATGTACAGGTAGAAACGCAGAATTTATTATGTCAGTAATACTTGGTAGAGTATTATCCACGCACTCTTTTAGAAGCCAAGTTGGAATTGGATCTGATTCACAAGATTTATTAGCCGAAGATGTTTAAATTTTCTTGATATCCTCTTTTGAGACAGTATTGAATTTACTAAGCAGAGTCTTTTCAGTGTCATGTGAGAGAGGTATGTTTTTCGATTGCTGCAAGTCATTCAAGTCATTGTCGAGATCACTACGTATTTTACCTATCCTGTTAGCAAAATACAATGAGAAATTGCTCGCCAATTCAACTTTGTTATCAATATTGGGTAATTTCACAGAATGTGAATTATGGTCCAGAAGCGTTTTAGTTATTCTTAAAAGTTCTTTTTGCTTATTAGTGCTATCATCAATCTTTTGTGAATAGTAGTGTCTTTTAATCGAATCTATTAAATGTGTTACGTTATTTCTGTGGGATTTGTAAATGTCCTTGCAGCTTAGTGCGTCTCCACAATTTTTCAGCCTTATTTCGAGTGTTTTTGGCACATCGTATTTCATCACTATACCATGGAGTTCCAGGTCGGATTTTAAAAACTCTCGTTTTAAAGAGAGCAACATCGTCAAGTTAGATGTAAGAGTATCATGATATGCAATTGCCTTTTCATGAACATCTTGTAAATCGTTTGATGAGTTTAATTTAGAGTTTGTAATCATATTCTTCAGATCTGTAACAGTGATGGTCGTTGTGTTCCGAAAGGTGACAGTTTTTGTTGATGGGATTGTCTTTTCTACATTATACACGGGAAAGTGGTCGGATACCAGCTTGTCTTTGATGGAAAGATTATTTACACAGTGTTCAGTGTTTCGGGTAATAACTAAATCCAGGAATGCGTACCACTTCGCACATGCTGTTGGCAACCATAAACATCAAGAATTTTAAGGAACCTCTTAACATCGTTATTATCAAAGTCATCAACGTGAATATGAAAATCTCCAAGTATCATGAGACCAATTTTGCAAGACGATAAATGGTCAAGAAGAAGAGAAAATTCATCAAGAAACAGTGAGATTTATTCTAATTTTGGTGGACGATAAAGTGTGATGGGCCTAATTTTCTAAAATCTAAATGAAAAAACGGTGTCCATGTATTCGAAAGATTTGAAATCTTGAAGATTCTTAACTTTCGTATGAATGACAGATTTGTATATGACAGCAACGCCTCCATAATCTCTCCCAATTCGATCGACATGTTCTAGCGCATAACCATCGGATATGAGTGCTGTAATTGATGCCTTCGGTGTGTCAGGCTTTAGCCACGTTTCAGTAACGGCAATAATTTCAAAGTCATTTTCAATGAAAAAATCACTCAATATAGTGGTTTTGTTTTTGATAGATCTTGAGTTAATTAAACAGAAAGCTGCATTGTCTTTAGATTTAGAATAGATAAGGTAAGCCAATTTCAAGCCACCATAGGGCATTTGGCCGGGAAATCCAATATTCCGTCTGATTTTTCAAGTAGAAATGCCCCAGCATGTCATGATAGAGTGTCAGATATGTTCCTTCGTAGAAACACTGGAAGGTTCCGTCGTTCGAAACATTGAGATAGATGATATCCAATCCTATCTGGCAAAAGCCGCATACCATTTCTGACTAGAAGCACATGGAAGTCACTACAAGTAGAATGTGCAGATCTCAGACGTACGCATGCACTTTTATCTCAAGGAACACGTCCATCAAAAAAAAACTCACTAACATAAAGAACATTAAAAGATATTTCGCAGTCGCTACTATTTCTAAAGATGGTATACTGGTTGTGAAGTATGCAGACGGTCCACCGTGCGTCATACGTGTTGATGCGGCTCCAGGATTTCAAAGTCTAGCGAATGACGCGTTGCTGCAGAAACACAGAATTTGTGTCGAAATAGGAAGGATCAAAAATATCAATAAAAATCCCGTTGCAGAAAGAGCCATACAAGAATTGAAATTGGAAATCTTGCTTATAGGTCCACGATGTGCACCCATATCATCAACAGATCTTGCAATAGTCGTTGCAACAATGAATATTCGCCTCCGCCATGGCGGATTGTCCACAAGAGATATGGACCCAACGTGACCAATTCACTCACGAGCAGATACCCGTATCGGATAAAGACCGCATATCATCTCAAAATTCTGCTAGACTGAGCAATCACCATTACAGTACCAAGTCTAAAGCAGGAACCAACTGTATTAGAGCAACATATATTCTTCAAATTGGCGATATCGTATATTTGCAGTCTGATCGAAATAAATCTTGTTCTCGGTCGCGGTACCTGGTTACAAATATTGATGGCTCTTGGTGTGACATTAGAAAGTTCATCGGTTCCCAATTACGCAACACAACTTATCGAGTTCAGTCGTCCGAATTGTACAAAGTACATTCCGATATCACAGGCCAAAACTCTGACCTGCCGAATCTCCATGAAGATGATGATGATAGCAACGATGGAAAAGCTGATGATGCTCAGTCCGGATTACATGCTGACCCTCCACGTATTAATGCGCTATATAAACCCTACGATTACCCACCACACAGTCTACCCCTGGAGCAATTTCAGCCAACTATTGATATCCCTCCTATTCCTGATCCTCCACCGGAAATCATTACTCCCCCTCAAGACGTTCACAAAAAGAAAGGAAACTCCCAAAGAGTTAAATTTTTAGTTATTTGTTGTGTAACAGGGGCAGAATAATTCCCAGAGGTCAGTCTGCCGATGACGGTTTTTTTCTTCTTCTTATGTTTGTCTTAGATCGTGGATTATAATCCGGTGACGGGGCAGAATAATCCCCATGGACCAGAGGGTAGTCTATCTGACGATGGTTCATAATTTAGTACTTTTTAATTTGATTTTAGTATTATCTTCTTATGACATTTACAAACAAAGCTTTTTAAGTTTATTAAAAATTTCATTATGAAGAAAATGTGGTCACGCCAGTATTGGTGTTTGTGGCTTTGTATTGTCGTAGGCCACAGTTTGTAGTTCACTCCTTTTGTTTGTAATTATCTCCTTTGCTTTCGTTCTCCATGTTTGATATACAATAAACGTTCTCTAAATGCTCTGTGTTTCTCCTGGTTTGTCGTGTCATATAAACGGTTAGCTAACAGTGTTAAAGTATGTTCAAAATTTCAAGTGTTTACAATCATTAGATCATGAGATATTCATAGTTAAAAGTTGTTTAAGGCAACTGTGACTGTTGGTGGATTATAGACACCGCGAATTTACGCACAGTTACTATAGAAGTCAGTACAAAATTTTCAAGTTTTAAAAACGCAATTTTAATTAAAATATCAAGTGTAATATATCACCAAAAAGGAAAGATCATGCACTTTAAGAATATATAAGAGATTTTGTCGTATGTTAATTAGGTCACGTGACAGAGCTATTAAAATCGCGATTTTTAAATAGCTGTAGAACCGAAAATAAACGTTGCACAACAAAAATGGGGACATTTTTGCATAGATCTGGCCAAGGGCAACAGTTCTGGTCACAAGGTCACCAAAGGTCGAGGTCACAAGATATGAGCCTTGAAAGTTTTGGCCAATATATAAAAAAAATAACCGGAAATAACTAAAAAGCAAAATCGAAATTCAAAAATCGGACCCAACACTTTTGTTAAGAATCGACTGCTGATGGTATAGACATTGAAATGATGTCAATCCGATTAACCTCAGTTCCAAGAAAATGGTTTAAAGAAGTTTTGTCATTTCAAGATAGTGGATGATCCATTACATCTAGGTCAAATTTGATCAGTTTAAATCTTTAATTTAAACAATTCTAAGATATTGCAAAAAGAATTTTTCAAATATCTATTAAATTCCGGAAGTGGAAATTTCAACTTTAGAAGCAAATGACGTTAAAACCGGAAGTGATATAAAAATTTTGAAAACAGAATTTTTTTCGCAATCAGAATGTCTAGGCCTATCTACTTGTAAATTTTCAGATCTATTGAAATAAAACTGTAGAAGTTGAAACAAACGCTGAAATTAAAACTAAAAAAGCCACAAAAGTCAAAATCTGAATTTTTTAAAGTGCTACTTTTTAATCATTAGTTTAAAGTAATATACAAAACAAAAATTACCGTCAAAATAGATTTAGAATTAAAGCAGTAATTCGAAATACGCGATTAATGGTTACCGTCCTGCGTCATTTCCGGTTGGGCAAAAATTGCGTTAATTTACATTTAACAGACAACGAGCACCTAGTCTAGATAGGTAATGATGTCAGATAGTGTGAGGCATGTACAGTTCGGGCTGGGGAGCGTGACCAAAAACAGTCGACAGAACGCACTGCTAAAAAACGTGCGGACGTAGTTTTAGATACGTTCAAATCAACTTTATTCAGGCTTTGTCGATCGTCACCAGCAAAATTCAAGATTACATCTCCACCATTGTTCTTTTCATGGACTTTTTATAGGCTGTACAATGTCCTCGTGTTCGGTGTTTGGCTGCTCAAGTTCTTCAGTTACATTGACTGCTGCAAAGTCATCTTCTGAAAATATATTTCTATTGAAAGGCCATAACTATTGAAAATCTTTTAACAGCCTTTTCTGCAGTAGCGCAATGTTAGAATGCTGTGCCAAATATGCCAGCCATTTCGTAGTTAGAGATCCTTCTCTCGAGATTAGATGACATCCAACTATCTGCTTCCCTGTTGTATGCCTCTTTAACAGCTTTAAAAAACGTTCTATCTAAAGGTTGTAGTTTGTGAGTCGTATGGGGTGGCAAGGTGATGAGGTGGATGCCATTTTGTCGAGCATAAAGAATTGCCTCTAAAGTTTTATGTCTATGATGACTATCCATAATAATGATGCTTTTGTTTTCTTCAGATGTTTTTGTGAAGTTCACAAAGTGTTACAGCCATCTAACGAAGAGAAGGACTTGCGTAGCCAACAGACTGTGGTGGAGATCCTGCCATCAATGCCTTAACCATCCTTACCCGTGGGAAAACAAACATAGGCGGCATGTGTACACCCGCTGCGCTCATGCCGCAAACCACTGTTACTGTTTTCACCCTTTCACCACTGGTAATTTTGCTGACCTGCTGGGTATTATATTCCCAAGCTTCTCCCCGTCTCGTCCATATTCCATATCTGAGAGGCACGAAAGGGCTCTTTTCTCAACACGTCATCATAGATGTTAAAAAATTCATTCACGTTTGGTCTCGTGAACCCAATGGCACGAGAGAGATTAGTTGCCTGTGGACGTCTGACACTCAAGTCCGGAAATCTCCCAGATAGCCAATCCTTCCCCGCCATCTTAATATTTAGTTTGAATGGGTGGCTTATTCCAGACTTTTCTGTTACTTCAAAGGCCCTTCGAGGCACACCAAACTGTCGACTAGCCCTAACACCCTCTTCTACCGCCCGCAATGCGTGTTGGAGAGCCTCATACATACGTGGGCGTTTCACCCCAAGTATACTATTTCGTTTCAGCTATAAAATGTTTTGTGGTCTAAAAAGTTAACAATAGTTGTGTTCCATTTTCACAGACATTATTCCCATTTAGTTTAATCGGACATAGAAAGATTTCTGTCTGTGCATATTTAACTTGAATGAAATAACTTTCAAATAATGAAACTTTTATAAGAAATGTAGCTAAATTCCATGATTAAGTATTTCTTACTTACTTTTTGACGAAATTCAAAGATTTTTCAAGGCTCGTGGACGTTGGTTTTTTATACGCTGCCGCTGATGAATAGTTTGCGTACCACGTGATGTGGGCATTTTACCTCGGGTGGGCGCTAAAAAGTGTAACAGTGTCGTGTCAGAAACTCAAAATGTCATGGTATGGTCGTCATGAAGTCGACCTTTCAAATGTAACCGTTTTAGCAGAGTCTTTACCTCGCGTGTAGACTACTACGTTTTTATTAAGACGATTGTCCATCGACCTTCTCATATGTGATATCAGTGGAAGGGCGTTAGTGGAAGGGAAATAATCCAGTTCAACAATCGGTTATTATAATATACATCTATGTTTACTAGTCGAATTAGCTAATAATTCAAGTGAGCTAAAATTGCTTTACCCAATCAATATACATGTACATTAGCCAATAGTCCGTAACATCTGCCTTTATTCTAGCCCCTGGCAGCTATTTTGCAAGTGTTATATGGACATTTTACGCACCTATGAAGGTGAGAGTTTTCTTAGATATAGGCTGACAGGTTTAGCTGACTAACTAAGATAAATCGAACCCGTGAGGGATTTCAATAATACGTTAGTTTTTGCGTAATGCCTACAAAGTTTCAACAAAAATTATCAGTCTGAATTCCTAATAATGTAATCTTTGCCCGAATATACTGTCCTGTAACTGTATTTTTTAATTAAAATCGTAGCCCTATTGTATTCTCCTCTAATAATATTTCATAATTCATTTCATTTGAGAATTGAACTCACTACCTGAATGTCATGTCCTATGACGATATTAATTGATAAAAAAAAATATATTGAAATAGCTACCCGAAGCCTTAAAGGGGCATTCCGCGTTTTTGTAAAACACTATCATTTTTAAAAACGGAGAGTACTTATTGTTAGTTGAAACTTTAGAATATACGTTGGAGGCATACGTCTCTGCAATTAGGTGTTTATTTTACTTTAATCCGTAAAGTAGTTTTTTAACCGCTTCCAAAAAGCATAACGAACTTATGTAAACATTTTAGATAGTTTTGGCGTAAAAAAAAACTTAGCAACTGATATTTTTTAGTTAAAGCTTTCAGATACGTTAAGGGACACATTTCTCTAGATTTTTGTGTTTCACAAATTTGACCAAAATTTTGTCGTCCTACAAAAAAAAACCGGGAAACTCCCTTTATCTCAGAGGTGGGCAATGTTTTTCTATTGTTTTGTAATGTTTTTGCGGCCCTTGAGATGTCTCGTGAAAAAAACATTAATCTATGTAAATAGATGGATTTCTAAATGTTTTGCATTCAGTGGCACTAAAAACGTTCCTCAACATGCGCATCATCATTAACGTTTGCAAATTGGTGTGACCTTTTTGATGTAACGTTCGATATTTGTTTGGCCATGATCAGTATTATGAGGATCAATAATTGAACGCTGTTACTACGTTAGTACAGTTATCTTGCCTGAAATTTAACCATGATCAGCTACATAAGAGGTATGGTGATGCCTCAATGAGATATGTGTCCTAATCTACGAAAAAAAATTGAGAATTTGTGTACATAAATGACTTTAAATAGAATAGGGCACTTAAGCCGATCTAAAAAATTTGTTACGGATTTTTAGTATATTAGACTATTAGTATACCTATCCTGAAAAAGTAGCTTGTCATGCTTATGAGAAACGTCCCGGCTTAAGCTCATTTTGATATTCCAACATTAGAGTACAGAAGAAACGAAACGATGTTATACACGCATATAGAATTATAAACGGCATAGACAAGACAGTTGATACATTATACCAACAATCTCAAGAAACTAGAACCAGAGGACAGCAAAAGAAATTTGTTAAACCAATAGACTAGTTGTAAGAAAAAAAACTATTTTTCTGTACGTGTCATCAATGATTGGAATTATCTTATCTTATCTTACCTAACCAATTCAAATTTAATCTTAATACAGCTTGGAAGAACATCGACATCAAATTCAGACCCATGGAAATCTAATGAACTACTAATCACCAATTTTATCAGACCATATCACAAAAAAATTATCCATTACAAGTTGCATGCGCACAAAAACAAGAAAAAAAAGAAACAAAATTATTTATTTTTTAACTTCAATATGGAAGTCTTATAAGAAATTCACTAAAGTAGTCAAGAAGCTATAGTGCTTACCAACAGACCGAAGAACAGTTATAACATAAGAGGTATACAGCACTTGGTAGTTATATTGTGATGGTATACAGTATTGGTAGTTATATTGTGATGATATACAGTACTTGGTAGTAATATTGTGATGATATACAGTACTTGGTAGTTATATTGTGATGGTATACAGTACTTGGTAGTTATATTGTGATGGTATACAGTACTTGGTAGTTATATTATGATGATGTACAGTACTTGGTATTTATTTTGTGATGATATACAGTACTTGGTATTTATTTTGTGATGATATACAGTACGGTAGTTATATTGTGATGGTATACAGTACTTGGTAGTTATATTGTGATGGTATACAGTTCTAGGCAGTTATATTGTGATGTTATACAGTACTTGGTAGTTATATTGTGATGGTATACAGTTCTAGGTAGCTATATTGTGATGTCATACAGTACTTGGTAGTTATATTGTGATGATATATAGTACTTGGTAGTTATATTGTGATGGTATACAGTACTTGATAGTTATATTGTGATGGTATACAGTACTTAGTAGTTATATTGTGATGGTATACAGTACTTGGTAGTTATATTGTGATGTTATACAGTACTTAGTAGTTATATTGTGATGATATAGAGTACTTGGTAGTTATATTGTGATGGTATACAGTACTTGGTAGTTATATTATGATGTTATACAGTACTTGGTAGTTATTTTATGATGATATACAGTACTTGGTAGTTATATTGTGATGGTATACAGTTCTTGGTAGTTATATTGTGATGTTATACAGTACTTGGTAGTTATATTGTGATGATATACAGTACTTGGTAGTTATATTGTGATGGTATACAGTTCTTGGTAATTATATCGTGATGGTATACAGTTTTTGATGATTATATTGTGATGGTATACAGTACTTAGTAGTTATATTGTGATGGTATACAGTTCTAGGTAGTGATATTGTGATGTTATACAGTTCTAGGTAGTTATATTGTGATGTTATACAGTACTTGGTAGTTATATTGTGATGTAAATAGTACTTTGTAGTTATATTGTGATGGTATACAGTACTTGGTAGTTATATTATGATGATATACAGTACTTGGTAGTTATATTGTGATGGTATACAGTACTTTGTAGTTATATTGTGATGTTAAACAGTACTTGGTAGTTATATTGTGATGTTATACAGTACTTGGTAGTTATTTTGTGATGATATACAGTACTTGGTAGTTATATTTTGATGGTGTACAGTACTTGGTAGTTATATTGTGATGGTTTACAGTACTTGGTAGTTATATTGTGATGTTATACAGTACTTGGTAGTTATATTGTGATGATATAGAGTATTTGGTAGTTATATTGTGATGGTATACAGTACTTGGTAGTTATATTGTCATGGTATACAGTACTTGGTACTTATATCGTGATGTTATACTGTACTTGGTAGTTATATTGTGATGATATAGAGTATCTGGTAGTTATATTGTGATGGTATACAGTATTTGGTAGTTATATTGTGATGGTATACAGTACTTGGTAGTTATATTGTGATGGTATACAGTTCTTGGTAGTTATATCGTGATGGTGTACAGTACTTGGTAGCTAGCCTATATTGTGATGATATAGAGTACTTGGTAGCTATATTGTGATGATATAGAGTACTTGATAGTTATATTGTGATGGTATACAGTACTTGATAGTTATATTTTGATGGTGTAGAGTACTTGGTAGTTATATTGTGATGGTATACAGTTCTTGGTAGTTATATTGTGATGGTATACAGTTCTTTGTAGTTATATTGTGATGTTATACAGTACTTGGTAGTTATATTGTGATGATATAGAGTACTTGGTAGTTATATTGAAATGGTATACAGTACTTGGTAGTTATATTTTGATGGTGTACAGTACTTGGTAGTTATTTTGTGATGATATACAGTACTTGGTAGTTATATTGTGATGGTATAGAGTACTTGGTAGTTATATTGAGATGGTATACAGTACTTGGTAGTTATATTTTGATGGTGTACAGTACTTGGTAGCTATGTTTGGTAGCTGTGTTTTGAGTTCCAAGGATGATATACAGAACTTGGTAGTTGTATTGTGTTTTTGTGATGATATTCAATTCTTGCTAGTTATATTCTTTTCTAATGATTGAATACATTACTTGGTAGTTATATTGTGTTCTTATGGTGATATACAACACAAGACAACTACCAAATATTGAATACCATCATTAAAACACAATATAATTACCAAGTATTGTATACCATCATTAAAAACACAATATAATTACCAAGTATTGTATACTATCATTAAAAACACAATATAATTACCAAGTATTGTATACCATCATTAAAAACACAATATAATTACCAAGTATTGTATACTATCATTAAAGACAACTCACTGAGCCACCGCAGCTCCCATCATCATAAGAACACAATAAACCATCATTATTAAGCTGTATAACATTATGATAACACAAAACACAAAACTATTCAAGTGGATGAGAATGATAATGATTTTTGATAAAAAATAACAAATACAATAAAGAGGCCAGATCGATAAAAAAACACTTGTCTTACATTTAAAATGCCTCAATTAATAGATAGTTTGGTAAAGTTTCTGTATATAGATCACTTACAATGTCCTCATTACTTTCCAGATACTGTACTATAAAGTCTAATGTTTTCTGATATATTTCTGATGATTTATCACTGGGTTTACAGATACCAATATGATCTGTATCAATCTGATGATAGTCACCATAACCAGTATCTGAAACACAATTATGAACTGATATTTCATTTGATTAAAGGGTTTAGAGTTTTAGAGTATTGGGGCCACTGATAGCATCAATTATGTGTCACTTATCGCAAAATATGCTTTATCACATAAGGCTCTTAGTGACGTCATCAAACACTTAGTTTTACCGGAACCACAGATGTCAGATTGAAAATTTGAATGGTGCAAATTGATGCTAATATTCCATAACCCTTTTCTAAAAGCTTAAGGATAAAATTACAAAAATAATTTTTCTTTACAATAAAATATGATTAAATTTAGGTTTCATTGATCTTTCATTAGACACGGGCTACATTTGTTTTCCTGCATATTTTAGCTGGTTAAAGACCATATTTGTTGAAACCTTCCTACCACGTTCTTACCACTTGATGCAGGAGGAACTATATCCAGTTTTAAACCTGTTGTAACTTGTGTTTTCCTCAATTCACCAAATGTTAAACAAGGTATAGAATTATTTTGGACATATTGCAAAAAATTATTCTGTAATAGTTTTAATTTTGGAGATTCTGAAAGAAAAATACATTAAGTGGATTATTGAAACCAATAGAATTGATTAAATGCTTAAACTTGGAAAACTTTGTTCTCTGGAGGAAATTACCTGTTCAGTATCCTAAAATTCTTTGTGGTCTTTGCATATAGCTAAAAGCTCAAGTTCATATCTAACAATATTTTAACAAGATTGTAGTCTAGTATAATATTATTTCAGAAAAAAACTAGAAGAGTTGAAGGGTTTCTTACCATGATCCAAGTCTTGTACTTCCACTGAAGGGTATAGAATATAGAATGCTTTATTCGATAATTTTGATAGATAAGAACCATGATGTGGTACACCATAAAATATAAAACCTTTGGTAGAATCTTTAATACCACCGTATACTCTTGTTGTATCATGTACAGATAATTCTAGGATCTGTTTTATTAACAAACCTATAATAAGATACCCTGTAATAGCTAACATTTTCTTCAATCATATTATAAACATTTCTTGGTTAGATTAAAACCAAGAGGTCTAAGGCATCAAGAAACCTATACAGAAAAACTGGGGTTTCATTGTCACTATAATTCTGAGAGAAACACGACAAGATTATAGTTAAAAATTGCATGTTAGACAGTTTTTAGATTTTGAAGCAGAAATCACAAAATAACAGGCAAGTTTTGGAATATATGATTTCTGTGTACTGTTGTAAGTTTATATTCTGGAATTACCTGATAATCTGTCAACAGAGCAAACATAAATATGATCTTGGTGAAATAAAATATAACTCAAAATAAAGAGCTACCTCCAAGAGAATGTCCTAACCATATAATTGGTCTTTCTCCTATACCAGCTTGTTTTAACTTCATTATCATTTCATCACCTCTATTAGCTAAAGAACGTCTAAAAATCATAGGCAATGGCTTCATAAAATGAGCAAATAATGAGTTAGATGATAATAGATCTAAAAACAATACATAACTCAATACAAACACATGCAGAGAAAATCAAGTGGTTGCCTAGCAAGATACGCCGACTTTCCAGATACTGAAACCACTTACCTGATACATTTTCAGTATATCAAAGGCGCTCACCAATCTGCATCAAATCTAATTTGTGCAAGATATTGTTGATTTAAACAAACACACATTATTTAATAAAATCCTGACATAAACTATCCCGTCTATCAAGTTAACAAGCCAACAAATTTTGATGCATTTTTACTAAGTCAAGGGCAATATTGACTCAAATCTGTTGATCGAAAAATTGGCAAATTCAATCTTGACTAAGATCTCATAATTAAATGATCACACCAAATTTCATTTAAATTGAATGAAAATTGTAGTCTCTTTTGTGTTCACAAACAAATTTTGATGAGTTTTCCCTAAGTCAAGGGCAATAACTCAAAAACCATTCATCGAAAGATGGCCAAATACAAATCAGTCTAAGATCTCATCACTATAAATGATCACACCTAATTTTTTAATCGGATGAAAACTGTAGTCTCTATTGTGTTCACAAACAAATTTTGACGCGTTTTTCCAAAGTCAAGGACTATAACTCAAAAACTGTTCGTCGAAAGATGGCCAAATGCGAACTAGACCAAGATCTCATCACTATAAATGATCACACTAAATTTCATTTAAATCAGATAAAAACTGTTGTTTCTATTGTGTTCACAAGCCAATTGTGGACAGACGGATGGACAGGGGCGACAACAATATACAACCACATTATGATGTGTAAACATTCAAAAAAATAAAACTTTAGGACTACTTAATTTTTTCTATAGCAGATTATTTTTTTGAACGTTTACCCATGTGTTATAGAGTATCCATTTGGATCAACTAAAAATGGACCAGTAAAAGACTTTGTAAAATAGTTTGTGTGTCTTCTATTTTATTGTACATTATAATGTGTTGGCAATTAATATTGATGAAAGAATGATTCATGCATAATATTAGTCTGAAAAATTTATTGTGGAAACCATATTTTTGTCATTTCTAAACATTTTATAGAAAGAAAGGGTGTGATATTAAAGACCTACTTCTGTGTGTCATAAGGACAATCTGCTGCCCATTCTGATAAATGTGTATCATAGTCCACACTTATAATTCTAATATCTCCTATTATATCTTCAGTTAACCAGTCCTGAATATTAAATAGAATAGAAAAGATAAGTATAAATCCAGGTAAAACAGTATAGTTCTCATTTATATGGGGTATGAACACAATCATTAGTGGAATCCAGAAATGAATGTCGCAAAAAATATCAGAATAAAATATCAGAATAATATCATATGATCACATTCTGAATTTTTATAGTTTAGTAGTTAATTAAGGCATATCATAGATTTTCATGGGAAGAAAAGCCTATTCTGAAACTTACTGACTCTTACCAACCCTGTACCCGTGCCTGAATAGTAACTTTTTATTCATGACCAACCTCACCTCAGCTCAAGCAGATACTTTGAAATCATTATTATTTGCAAGGGCCTAATTTTCATGGATTTAGTCTAATTTAGTACTACAATTAGAGGACCCATAAAATTTTTAAAACTCTAGAACAGTTATGATAAGGATAAGGTATATACAATGAGCAAAAATCTTTTGAGAGTCCCTTTAAATACTTATATAACAGTACCTTTGGCCAACATGATGATGTATTATCATTTTGTAGTTTACTTGAATCATTTTGTCTCCATGTTTTAAATGATCCCCCCATTATACCATGTATTAAGACAATATCTAATATTGGTTTCTTTCTGTAAAAATACAATCACTATTGTTGATAATTAAGAGAATAATTTCAGATTTACTTTATCTGAAAGGACAGTTCATGGAATTTGAAAATTCACTATTGATAATGCAAAACAATTGAACTTTATATGGTGCTCTTCCAACAGGGAATAATAGTTTTTGTATGGGAATTCCATCCTTATGAATAAATGTATATTTACAAGTGTTATCTTGAATATAAATGTCATAAACCAAAAGCAATATTGACCACAAGAAATGGGTTAAAGACTTTTTTGCATTTAACATTTTGACACTATTTTATCAAATGCTTATTTAGCAGCAGCTTGTTTGTAATAGTAATATAAAAAAAAGGTACAGGTCAGAAAAAAAAATCTGGAGACTTTTTCAAAGTGTGTAAATTTGTGAATTTTAAGCTCCTTAAGCTGCTTTTTTTTTTAAATAAGCCTTAAGCTATGTATATAAATTATGACGCTAGGCGTATGGTTATTTCTACAGTTTAAACCATTTAGCTGTTTCAAGAAAATTAATGTTGTATGATATTGCCCATTTCTGGTGAAAATGCAAAGAAGTTGTATCACTCATAGACTTTGTTGAAGCTATTAGTGTTTGCAACACATTTCTTTTGAATTCTTTTGAAAACTGTTCTGGAACATGGCAATCAGGGATAGAACAAGATGGATGAGATGATATACCTACTTAGTTCTATGTATTGGGTGAAGAATATAAACACCTTCCTCTAGTGTGTGATGTATAAAATCACTATCTAAATTAGACAATATTTTAGCAGCTAATGATGTTAACACTAGACTATTACAGTTTATCCATTCTGCTAGAATACTTATCCAACCTAAAAATAACAAATTAGATATTTTAGAATTGCAGGGTAAAATGGATATCCAAAATGCTTTATTAAAAGGTCTCAAAGCAAATTTCGAGTCAACCTGTTTACAAATAATGTGAATTTCTCAAACAAAAACAAATACATAAAAGTCTTCCTACTTATCTAAAAAGAGAATGATAAACATGAAATCATAGAAAGAAAACAAAATAAAAGTGATGGAATTAATTAACAATGTATTTGAAATTTGTAATCAACAAACATGAATTTATTTTGTGCCATTTTATAAGAAGTAAATTAAAAATGTGTTTTTTGAAATCAGTGTATCTCTCCTTTTAACAATTAAATAGGTAAATGTATAGATATAAATATAACACTCTTGGTCATTTGGCTTCATGAAATTAAAATCATAATCCCACTTCCTGTACTAAAGCTAATTTCAGTGATCAGTTGAAAATGGTACAAAACCTCCTTAAAATCTAAAATTTAATATCTACCCACATACCTGATGTAATTATAGAGTCATGTAGTTGTTTAATAATAGATAAATTAGCTAATATTCTACCAATTAATATCTTTGTTTTTAAACAGTCACATTTCATTTGATATACTCTTTGTAATAGAGCTAATCCACCAGAATCTACTATCTTAACACAATTACTATGTATCTGTAAAATAGACATTTCAGCTAAATTGTGTGTTTATTGGATCTATTTGGAATTCAGTGACTGCAGTACACGAATTCTAATGTATAATTGCTTTATATCCAATATGAAGATGTACTTAGTGTTTATGTATTTTATCTCAGTGATCAGTGACATCGAATTTCTATTTATAGCTGAAACTGCGTTAATATGGTCTTTTGGCCTTTCCAAAATCAAAGTGAAGGAAACTAAGCAGAACAGAATCGGACAGAACTAAGCATTTAGAACCCCAGTTAGTGATTCCAATCTGGGGTACCTACAAGTACCTTAAGGGGTACCTTTGGATCTTTTTGGGCAATTTTTTCAAAAATATAGTTTTATCATAAGCAATAGTAAAGAGAAAATACATGTATTGTCAAATGTGCAAACTTTCACACTTTCAGTCGAAGTTATGCCCCTCATCCATGTTAGCTGTCTACTGTAAAGCTTGATTGCTTCTTCTGTACTTACTGTTGAATGTCTAACTAATGCTGCTAAACTACTCAATTCTATAGTTGATTCAGATAAATGATCTTTTGAGTCAGGAGATGCCAAAGTTGAGCCACCAAAACTCCAAAAACCACCCTATAACAAACAATAAAATTAACTTACAAGGTTTCCAACAGTTGAAAAATAAAACACATTTACTTAACAACACATAATCTCTAATTTGATTTATTTGCTCTGTCGAAATGAAGAATTTCTATTTGATAATAAGAATATACAAGTGACCTTACCTTCTGATAAAACAATGAAAATTTAAAAGTGTTTACAATTACATGGCATTTGATTTGAACAATGTTCATCAATCATTAATGAAATTTTCTCACTTGATCTTGTAGTGGTTGAGCATGTTTTAATGCTATCTGTGTAAAATATTCTATACATTTATCTTCATGTGTATCAGGTAATAATAGTAATAAATCTATCAGTTCTTCATAAATAGCTTTCTAAATAATCAAAATATTGAAGATTATCTTGGGAGGATAGTTAGGCTTTGCATGATCATCAAGTAGCAAAGTATTTATAAGCGATGTTTTCTTAGACTGAAGTGTATGATTCTACATCATGAGACAATTACGGTGTTGGGGCAAAAATGTCTTTCATGATCCCACATCATCCAGCCAATTCTCTAAACTAGATTGCTGAATAAATTCAAAAGCAGTTCTCTAATCTTTGTATGCGTAAGTCGACTCCTACTTATTATAAGCCTACATATAAGAAAGCCTCTTTCAATGGTCTGTTTATATTCTATGCTAACACCACAGGATAAACGAAGAATCATTGTGCCCAACAATGGGAATCTTAGAAACATTTTAGACTGAAATAAAATTTGCTAAGTCCTGTTCACTGAATTCCATTTACGCTCAAATGAGTAACAGAACAGTTGTTCTTATTACTTTATGACTCATTGCATTCCAAACAATTACTATGATGAATATACAGTACCAGGTCTTACTTGAGATGTCTTGTGACAAGGAGGAGAAGAAAAATATCTAAGATCTACATCTTTAGACCTAGCTAATCCTACTAGTGTTCTACCATCTACTTTCTCACCTACTGCTTTAAACTGGTAGTCTGAAAAGAGGAAGCATGACAGTGTGAGGAGATTTATTAAGTCTGTAGATTACTTCTACTGAAGAATCATCTAAGAAGTAAATATCTTTGAGTATATAATGACTAAAATCATCATTGTAAAAATAGGAAAACAGTTATACACTCCAACCAGACATAAAAATCCAAATAGTCTTATTTCTCACCTTTCCAGCATTCAATACCAGCTAAAGCTTCAACACCTAAATATCTAGTAGCTTCACTACTTGATCTGGTCAACTCTAATAACTTATTTGGATCCAAGCTTTGGGACTGAAACCAGGACAGGAAGTTATCTGCAAATTAAATCGAAATAAGGTAGTTATAGGTGTTATAGAAGATACTCTCCTATAAAAGCACTGGCCTAGGTAGTGTAATATCAAATTATATATCATTCGTGAAATATCAAATATTTATTAAATATATTCTCTATCAAATATATTATCTATTACATAATATATCTATCAAATATATTATCTATTAAATAATATATTAAATCCATTAAATATATCATACATTACATATATTATTTATCAAATATAGTATGTATCAAATACATTATCTATTACATAATATATCTATCAAATATATTATCTATTAAATAATCCATTGAATTCATTTAATATAATTAATTTAAATATGTTACCTATTAAATAGTCTATTAAATATATTATTTACTTACATATATTATCTATCAAATATATTATCTATTAAATAATACATCTATCAAATATATTATCTATTAAATAATCCATTAAATACATTAAATATATCATCCATTACATATATTATCTATCAAATATATTATCTATCAAATATATTATCTATTAAATAATCCATTAAATACATTAAATATATCATCCATTACATATATTATCTATCAAATATATTATCTATCAAATATATTATCTATTAAATAATATATCTATCAAACATATTATCTATTAAATAATCCATTAAATACATTAAATATATCATCCATTACATATATTATTTATCAAATATATTATCTATCAAATATATTATCTATTTCATAATATATCTATCAAATATATTATCTATTCAATAATCTATTGAATTCATTTAACATAATTAATTTAAATATGTTACCTATTAAATAGTCTATCAAATATATTATCTATTTCATAATATATCTATCAAATATATTATCTATTCAGTAATCCATTAAATACATTAAATATATCATCCATTACATATATTATCTATCAAATATATTATCTATCAAATATATTATCTATTTCATAATATATCTATCAAATATATTATCTATTCAATAATCCATTGAATTCATTTAACATAATTAATTCAAATATGTTACCTATTAAATAGTCTATTTAATATATTATCTATTACATAATATATCTATCAAATATATTATCTATTTAAATCTATCATCTATTAAATATATGATCTATCAAACATATTGTCCATTTAATACAATTATACAATCCGTTATCCATAATATTTCATCTGTTAAATACATCTTCTATAAGAAATATATTATCAATCAAATAAGCTTATAGCATCTATCAAAAAATCATATATGAAATATATCATCTATTAATATATTTTCTATTAATTTTACAAATATATTATTTATCAGATATATTATCTATCAAATATATTATCTATTAAATTATATAAAATATATCAGTTATAATATATCATTTATGAAATATAAGCTTATCATCTATTAAATATTGTATATTGAATGTTACCTTTTAATTGTAGTGCATTTTCAATACTAGTGGAGAAATAGTCTCTCAAAATGTCATTTTTTTGGACGTTAAAAACATTAGTTATTGCTGAAATGCTGTTATCTGTTGCCAAAACTTCAAACCATAATACTGCTCCACTACAAACAATAAAGTGAATAAATTTGATACTTCAAACAAAATTAATAAACCTACAGTACACTGTGCTTACCTAAACAGACCAAAGAAATTAACTAATAAAGAGGAACACAAATGATCCACTACAAAAATACCTAGTTTGATTAAAGCTCTGTCAATCTCAATAAGTAATACTTACCATGCACTTGATACTAATATTGCAGCATACCATCTATAACCTGAAATGAAGACTTAGATTTATAATGGAGGATACATCAAGCAAATGGCAGCAGTGGATTCCGATCTCATCGGCCTGTGATAGTCCTATGACCTTGAACAAGTCATCTTCACTCATAATTCCACTTAACCCAGTTGTAAATAAGTAAGGATTATCTGGGAAAGATCAATGCCAAGAGGTTTGGCCAAGGACCAGCTGGTAGAAAGTATCCTTAATTGTAACCTCAATGTTATCCATGTAAAATAATAGTTGTTATTTCTTTTTCTTTTCTTTTTATTATTTCACTATGTATCAATTCAGAGATATGTCATGCCAGCCAGGCGACTGTATATATCTTTTAAAGATTTAAAAAGTTTCCATGCTCAAAAAGATACCCATTTCATTAAACTACCAGTACTAGTTTATTGGCATAATAGGGTAGTGTTTAATCCGAAGAACGCAGACCTGTATAATCTTAAGTTCGCAGACCCCTATTAGAATCCGCAGACCCTCTATACTAGAATCTGCAGATCCCCTATACTAGCATCTTCAAACCCCATATACTAGAATCTCCAGACCCCCTATAGTAGAATCTTCAGACCCCCTATACTATAATCTTCAGACCCCCTATAATAGAATCTGCAGATCCCCTATACTAGAATCTGCAGACCCAACTAGAATCTGCAGACTCCCTATACTATATTCCGCAGACCCCAACTAGAATCTGCAGACTCCCTATACTATAATCCGCAGACCCCAACTAGAATTCTCAGACCCGCTATACTATATTCCGCAGATCCCAACTAGAATCCACACACCCCCTATACTATATTCCGCAGACCCCAACTAGAATCTGCAGACCCCATATACTATATGCCGCAGACCCCAACTAGAATTTGCAGTTGAAGAGCTGGGTTTAAATGCCTGCTGTTGATGCCCTGTAGCATATGATGTGCTAGTAAAAAATGAATTATAAGGGGCGATCATGGTTATAGAAAGCAACCTGCTACCCCTGTATATGGTCCTATACATGGTGGCTTATGAATGTTAGGGTTTGAGGAATATAGTGTAGGTGGTCTGTGGATTCTAGTTGGGTCTGTGGATTCTAGTATAGTGGGTCTACTGATTCTAGTAGGGTCTGTGGATTCTAGTTGGGGTCTGCGATCTTCGGATTATACACTACCGCATACTAGTGGACAATACAGAAAGGATTCAATTTAAGCTGTATTGAACCAGATATGGTCCCCAAATATTTATTTGCAACAGTATTGATGCAATCAGAGCAATCTAATAGTTTGAACTTGGGAACAGCAAGTTTCAGACCTTAAAGAAATCTTACTTCTTAGAATAAACATGAAATTTCAATTTTTAAACGTGGCCAATAAGTGTGTATTCAAAAATAAATTTTTATTAAACAATTTCTTAGTTTTATGATTGGCGAAGTTCGGAATTTACATTTTATGTTTGTTCTGGAGAGTATATATATTGAAGACAAGGACTAAAGCCAAGGTGAGGAGAGAAAAAGAGTCTATAGATCATAAAAAGTTGTACTGTTGTAGGTTGACATATTTTTTTATGTGATTTACCATTCTTGGATTTTGATATTCTTTGTTCATTTGGATTTGATTGTTGGGATTGTGTATTGTTACTGTTTTCCTGTTTTTTCCGTAACAAAGCACCGCGGATCTGTAAAGTTGACCTATGTCTATATTTTAGACAATTTTTAAAAGCTTTTAACAAGCCTACATTCATATCAACCTATTGGTTAGTTGTTTGCACTTGGTATTTTGTGAAAAACTAATTATTCATAATGACGAAGTGTCAATTAGATCAACGACAGTTTAGCTACTTTCAGTTTGTTTTGATTTAGTCTGATTGTGCTACACTAAAATGTTAATTGTAAAAATCGGGAAACGAAAAAAATGATTTTGATTTTCTCCCTTGATCGTACTTTTCAGACCTCATATAAGAACATAGTCCTATATTACATTATAGAAGCGTAAAACCTTATCAAAAGCAAACAAAATGGTTCCAAAATTCAGAACAATGTACAACCTGTTTTAAGTCAATCAAATCAATTTTTACCACAATGAAGGCAATTTCTTTCCTACAATGTTATGATAGTATCCCGTTAAAAATAGATTTACTGTGTACATTTAGACTGTGATCAATGTAAATTCTTGGAAAATGTATAGTTTTTTGCTTATTCTTAATTGATATTATTTCGTTTTATATTTAAAGTTTAGTTTGGTTTTACTTAGATCCACAAATACAAGATAAGATCTACCAGTATTTCTTAGAGTTTCATTGATTTTGTTAAATGACAATCGCGACTTGACACACTTCCGATTGTTTTTCTATCGTACTCTCAACGCCGCACTTCGCTGCATCCTTCGAGCGAGAGAGCAACAAATCAAGGACCGCTGTGAATGTATGATGTTAAAAGGAAATCGGAGAAAAAAGATAAAGATACAGTGGGAATTATCATTCTAAGAAGAATTTTGTGAAAAAGACATTTTTTGTTGTGAATTGAACAGTAAAACCCATCTAACATTTTGTCAACAAAGTAGAACGTTTATGGAACGGTCCATTTTGTTGTCTATTTTTAGAACATAACCTCCTTTTTGATGAACCAGTGTTGATGTAAGCATTGACATTATAAAAGAGAAAGTTATGAGTGTTAAAGTAAGAGCTGAGACGACAGTATCATTGAAATCAACACCCACAACCACTGACATTGCAACCAGCATTAAACCAAAATATGACAATGGTTCTTCTTGTCAAAAACAGAAGAAGCTGGGAGAGGATATTCAGAATTCATCCAATAAGCCTATTACCATTGGTCAAGCTATGAATGAAGATACAGGTCAAAGAGCAAACTCATTTTCAAGGAAAAGGCGATGGTCCTGCAATTTTAAAGATAATGCTGCATTTAAGAGAAAAAGAAGCCACAGCTGTGTAATGCGAGAAGAGAAAATATCACTTCCAACCAAGTTTTTACTTGGTGGATCAATAGCAGATCCATTAAACTTAAATGGTTTGACAGGTCAGAGTTTGGCAAACATGTCACCTATATCATCACCATGGCATCCCTCACCTAAATCAATTGATGTGGTTATTCCTCCCAATATTACAGATCCATTAAACTTAAATAGTCTAGATGACAACATTGGACGTAGAAGAAAGAGACATAGACATAGAAAAAAAGATGATTCAAACACTAGTAATGTAAATGAAGGGAAAGTTACTACACCAATTGGAATAGATATTAGCTATGAATTAGATCCAGAATCACAAGCTAAATGTTTGAGTGCTCCTATTCCTAGTACCAGCAATACCACCATGTTATCACCTCCGTTCACCCCTCCATCAAGACGCAGGCGACGCACAATGAGTGAATGTGCAGCTGATTTAGTTAGTGCTAAAGAACTAAAGTTTAGTAAACCACAAGATTCTCAGCCGAAAGATATCAACTCTGAGACTGGGGATGTACCAAACAATAATGCCATTGCTAGTGCTAATCAGAAAACCCAGAAGGGAAAGAAAAAAAAGCCAAAATTTATTCATGGAAACTATAATAGATATTATGGATATAGAAATCCTTCAGACATTGAAGATATTAGATTAGAATTCTTTGATATTGAATGGTTTAAAGGGAAGGATGTGTTAGATATTGGATGTAATGTTGGACATTTAACCATCTTGGTTGCTAAGAAACTCTCACCCAAAATGATTGTTGGAATAGACATTGACTCTTCGCTTATATCTGCAGCTCGTAAAAATATTAGGTATTATGTTGAAGCCCAAGAGAAAGAAAAGCCAGTATTCCCTGTGTCAAATAATGTAGTATTTGGTCCAATGGAAGCCCCACCATTAATCAAATGTTCTAGATCAGAATCTTCAATCTTCCCTCAAAACATTGTATTTAAACAAGGAAATTATGTTTTAGAAAATGAAGATCAGTTAAGTTTAGTGAAAGAGGAATATGACACAATTCTAGCTCTTAGTATATCAAAATGGATTCATTTAAACAATGGAGATGAAGGCATTAAAATATTCTTCAAAAGAATTCACAAACATCTTCGTCCTGGAGGGAGACTTATTTTAGAACCACAACCGTGGGCTTCTTACAAGAAGAGGAAAAATTTGACACCAAACATTAATTATAATTTTCAAAATATTAAGTTGAAGCCAGAACAATTTAGAGATTATCTTTTGGCAGAGGTTGGATTTCATAAATGTGAAGTGATTGATGTGGTAAATCATAAAGCCAAAGGTTTTCGGAGACCCATTCAGGTTTATACTAAATCTGAATCCAGTGAAAGTGCTAATGAACCAAACAAAACCCCACGTTCAAATTAATTCATATGATGCTATGTAATTTCATTACATGTATAACTTGTTTGTTAAAGGTGTTTTTGATTTTAATAACTATGTCACAATGATTACAATATAGTGTAATCTATGTATACCTTATTTCATTTTCTATTCTTTCAATTGACCTATCATTTCATTTTGTTAAGAGAATAAATATTTGAATTGGGAATCTATATTATCAATTATCACAAACCATTAGAATAACGTATTGATGTACCGGTATGTATAAATCAACAAAGATATTTTTGCACATCCAGTTATGGTTCAAAACATATGCATGACAAATGTACCTTTTTTAGGTAGTCTGTATGGTTTTGATTTGCCCCTAGGTGAGCAAAAAATCTTAACTTGAATATCATGGCTCTTTTGCATATATATTGATTTTCAGAACTTATGGGTCAAACACCAAGATGCTGGAGGCTAGAGTGATCTGATCACAATTCACAAAATGATTAAATTTTGCTACTTGATCATTAAATGATTGTGTTCCAAAACCATTGGCCTGATGTAATTGGATAGAGATACAAAAAATTGAAAATTATTTATCATGAATTTGTGATGTGTGTTTGGATGCGCCCACAAGAAATGTGGAACATATATTGGTGTGACGAAAGAGTATAGATGTTTGCCATTTCATCCACAATTGCTCGAACTCGCCAAAAGACATATTTCTTGATGGATTTTGATGAAACTTGGTGCAAGTGTTTTGTTATCACTCAAGGATGAACCCTATTGAACATCATAAAAATCTAAATATGTTTAATGAGTTGCCCTTGTCCTTGACAATGCGTTTAATCTTAGGCTCTTAAACACTCTAGTAGGGACCATGTTTAACAGATAGAGATGAAACTTGTTGAAATGGTTCTATAATACCCAAGGATAAGCCCTATTGAAAATCGAAAAAAGGGTTATGCTTTAGAATGGAAAATTCTAGACAGATTTAGACGCAACTTGGTAAAATTATTTTTATCACCTAAGGTTGAACTCTTGCTTATAACAAAATCCTTAATTATCTAATGCGAGGTACTGCCTTTGTACTTCAAAATGTGTTTAGTATTTGGCTTGTAAATACACCATAAGGCACAAACATTGACAGCTTTTGACCAAACCTAATGATATTGTTCATTATCATCCAAGTATAATCTCTGTACTTGAAAATAAAAAATATTTTACGTGAGTGGGCTAATGAAGACGGGCAACGCCATGAGGAAAATTTTACCAGGACATCGGCATTATCTTGTGCTTTTTTTTTATACGCCCACTTGAAATGGGGGTGGGGTATATTGCCGTCACCAATGTCACATACTGGTGATTGTTACTGTACTGCTGAATATTTTTATTCAAGCTGCCAGTGGGCGTATATTACCTTGCCTGGCAAGTTATCTTTTTATTTCCAACTATCAGAGATCTTTAATATGCACAGCCTGTAGCACACAGGGCCTCGTTTTATTGTCCTATCCGAATGACTAGGTGTTTTTTTTTTTCAGGTCAGCCCGTCTTACCTGCATCACTGACAGGTGGGAAATTGAAAACACATTCAATATTTAACTTGTCAACATGCTGAAGGACACAAGTCAAGCTCGAATTTGACAAAAAGCTCAAAAGAAGTGTATGACTAATTGTGCTACAAATTATGTCAATAATTTTGCTTCCTTGAGTGTTCACCAGCAGACCTGCATGATTGCAAGTTATGTCTCTTGTTTTTGGAATGGCTTGGTAATATTTTTCTGTTGAATACTCATGAAAATTCAGCAAAACAGTTTCAAGAAAATGAAGCTTAGTTTCTTTCATTATTTTTCAAGGCTACATCCTTCCAAACTGAGGACTCTTATATGTGAGCGACAACCAGAGCCTAGTTACTACCTACTGGTGGTAGACTTTGATAGAGGTTAGTAAAGATAAAATTACTGAAGTGCAGTGATGGTAGAGTTTTGTAGAGGTTAGTTATGATACACTTACTGAAGTGCATTGATGGTATTAATAGAGGTTAGCTCAAAATTAGTCGCTGAAGCACAGTCAAGTGATGGTAGGCTTTAATAAAGGTTAGTAAAGACACACTTACAAGAGTGTAGTGATGGTCGACTTTAATAGAGATTAGTTAAGAATTAGTTACTGAGGTACCAGATAGACTTTAATAGAGGTTAGTTCATGTTCAGTTACTGAAATGCAGTGATGGTTGACTTTAATAAAGGTTAGTAAAGATACAGTTACAAGAGTAGTGATGGTGGACTTCAATAGAGATTAGTTAAGAATTAGTTACTGAAGTACAAGGTAGACTTTAATAAAGGTTAGTAAAGGTACAGTTACAAGAGTGTAGTGATGGTGGACTTTAATAAATGTTAGTAAAGATACAGTTACAAGAGTCTAGTGATGGTGGACTATAATAGGGGTTACTAGAGGTCACTTAGAGGCATACATGCAAGTCAAAAGCAGTTACACATCACAAGTAAGGGGTAAAATACAGTTACAGTGATAGTAGGCTGAAGAGGTTGGTTATGAGCGGAGCACAGCCAGTGAGAGTGTTAGTTCTTTATTTGACATTATTTGTTTGACTATGTCTATGTCAAACAAATGGTTGTTGAGGGTTCTAGTCTTCGTTGGCGAGTGAAAGTCCAATTACCTTGAATAAATCATTTTTCTCTTTACTTATTCCAGTTGACCACTAAATGGGTATGAATATTCATTGCCAGGAGGTTTGGTCAAGGACGAGCTTGTAGAAAGGATCATTGTTTCTTTCCCTGTCTTTCTTTTAGCCAAAGAATGAAGAAATGGGCATATAAGCTTACTTTTACAGAAAAACATAAAACAATATTTAATTTCATCTCATCACATGGGAATGGTGTTCAGTGAATTATACATGATTGATATTAATTCTTTAAAAAGTTATTTTGAGTAAAAGAGTTGCGTATGACTTTCTCTTCAGCCTGTGAGACAGGCAATAAAGGGGATCTTGTTGGTCCACCATAATAACCAAACCATTCCATCGCTTTCTTCAGTCCAGCAACACCATATTGCTTTGTTATCTAAAATAAATAACATTCCTATACTTACAGAATCACTACATGATATGTTATTTCAATTGATCTGTGCTCTATGATAACGTTGATTACTCTTGAAGATATGGTCAACTTAACAAGTCTCTTTTGACTTTTTGAATAAGCTAATGCAGATTTAAATCAGTTCCTATCAATCAATTCCTATTCATCCTCATTCAAAAGTTTTGCTTACTTCAAACATTTTATCACAGTACAATCTCTCATGAAATATTAATGGCATGTAAAATAAAGACCTTAGGCTCTAGTCTGTATCTGAACATTTTGTAGATATATTTCAAATTGTAAAAAGATGATTAAAATTATACTTACTGCAGAATTAGGAGCTATACAACGATATTGGAGATCTAAAGCCTCCTGATATCTTCCAGCATGGAATAGATCTACCAACTGACACAGCTCTTTGCCCAGTATATTGGCTAATGCACATACACCACCTACACAACCTGAATGAAAACAAATTATACAGGTTAACAATTATGCAAAATATATAATTGCACAGCACATTATGGATAGTTACTTTCAAAAGACTGCTTACACAACATAATAATAATACAAATAATATGTATACCTTACCTTATATATCTTTCGAGTTAAAATACATGAGATTGTATAAATATGTTAATGAGGTATATATGACTTGTAACATAAATGATTGACAGTTTTAACTTATTACGATACTGTGCAAGTCATGATTTTTGTTAAAAAAAGTAGTGGAGCTTCAGCATGGCAATAACATCGAAATGAGAACATACCTAGGCTCCACCTACTTTCCTCTAAGATTCTATTTGGCTGTCATGTGAAGTTATCCAATTATGATAATACAACAAATTGCTGATAATATACCATGGTTTTCCTTAATTATTTCTTAAAAGCATCAGAAGAAAAAATGCAATTTAAGTTACAATATACATTAGACCATTCTAGATTTTGTTGATTTTGCAAACAAAAGCTATTAGATATAACACTAAGCATAAAATCCAGAAAAATATCGTCTTTAAATTCTCTTAACCCACTGATATATATATATACAAACACATGTTACTTACCAACTGTGTAAGCTGGTAATAGAAACCCTGCTGAGCCTGCTAATACTTGAAAATTTTTATTTTTAGTTTTAAATACAAGGCTTGCAAGCTTTGTGATCTAGAAAATAAAATATGATGGTTATATAGGTCCAACTATAAAGCTTGCAACAATAAAGTAAGATAAAATCCAGTAGAATGTTTCATATGGGAGTTTTTGTTTTTTGATCAATTAGATACCATGACATAATTGTAAACTTTACAAAAATAAATTGTGCTATATGAACTGTATATTGAAATGGTAGTCCTTGCATTATTTGAGCTTTTTTCCACTAATTTGTTTCATAATAGTAATTGGTGTCACATACCATTTTAAGTTACATGTATATCTTTAATTAAGCCAGCTAAAAACTATCAGTAACTTATTAACTTTTAGTGTAAATGCTTCCATAGCATGGTATGCCATAAGTTTTCAAAAAGTATTGGTTTGCAATAATGGAATTCTAAATTGAAAGATAAAGTGCATTCCAAAAGAAACTCTAGGACTTACATCACCAGCACTGTCCTTCATACCAATAATGTTAGGATGTGGTGCTAAATGTACAATAACTTCAGGTGATAAATCAATACCAGTATTAGCAGGAACACTGTACAATATCACAGGTATAGAACTGGTATCTGCCACCTACAGTGATTACAATTGACATTAATCAATCATCTAAAATCAAAGGAATTGAAAGTTGAAATTGTCGCAACATATTCAGAAATTCATAAAAAGCTTAAAATGACCGATTACATGAAATCGTTGGTTATATATTCAATCCTTGCACGACTACTAAAAATTGCATACATACAAAGGGGCTGCTTGATTGGTGTCATGTGCACATTTAGAATTCATGGAAATCACAGAGTTTAAACTGTGTGCAGAAAAAATAAGTGCAGTCACAATTTAAAATGGTGGAGAAGATTAGGAATGTGACATAAACCAGTTCTGTAGCATTGGATTGAGGTCAAAATTCGAACAGACAGAACTAATTCCAATCGAGCACTACCTTAGATTAACTTGGTATATTCCTGTATATATCTAGAGGAATCAGATATTATTTTTGTTCATTTGTAACATGTCACAGATAACTGAAATTCAGCTGTTTTAGCCACCATGTACCAATATAACTAATTGCATACAAACCCTAGTGTAATGTTGTATCAAAGATTCATTGGTCATTCTCCCTTTAAAATAACAAGGTGTTACCACTAATACTGCATCTGCCCCTGCATCAGCCATTTTTCTAGTCATTTCTATTGTGTCTCTGGTTGCTGAAATAACAATTACTTCCCTAAAACTTGTGCAATAATAATTGCAAGTTAATATATTCCTTGTGACAACCTATTTTGGGCTTTTTTGGAAAAAAAATTTTCATCTTTGTAAAACATTTGTTAGTATCATCTATTTAAACTCTTTTTGAAAGATGGAGAGTTGACAGGCCCAGTCACAGATTGGCACCAAGTGTTCTAGAAAGCTATGAATTCTATTGCTCTGTTGCACCATCCACCATGTTGTAATTGGAACTAAACTTGGAATAACTTATGTAATAATTACTATGACCTGTATTCAATGTAGACTTGATAAATAATTAAGATAATAATAAAATAATACATGTACTTACATTCACAACCAGAGCCTGCTATGATTAATTTATCTTTATCTGCCAACTTTACAGCTTTACTAACAACCTCCACACGTTCATCAGGTGATAGATATGTATATTCTCCATTAGACCCTTCAACAACATATCCTGTAATATCAAAATAACTGTATTAAACCCTGCTATAAAGTATAATACAGACCTTACAAGAAATTTGAGCATAGGAAACTAATATTGTTTCAAGTTTCCATGTTAGACTTTTATGTACATGGCTAAGACCTTACACGAAATGGAAAATCTTAAAAATGGCAAAAGTGAAGGATTTCAAGCAATTTTCAGCATGTTATTGTCCCCGAGACACGTTGTTTGTGGAAATGAATTATGCTCTTTGTGATGCATTTGGTCACATTTCTATAAAAATCGACATGCATATTCAAAAAATTTCATGCAAATTTGAATTGAATGTGGGCCTGCACTTTCTCAGTAATTTGTGGAAAAAAAAATTGGTCTCATATGTCTGCACTTGAGATCAATAGTTGCTCATTGCAAGCCTGTCACAATCTGCTTGCAAGTAAGACAAGATATTTCGTATAATATTTATATAAGATATATTTACTTTGACAAATCAAACAATATAAAAAGTGTATCACATATAATCTTAAGCCCACCCTAGTCAAGTTGCATAATTGGCCATTATCTAGTACCAGATGACAATTATATTCAATTGACCTGTCAAACCCTGTCATTAGGGTGAGGTCCGTGGGGGCTGGGCCCTAGCAAGTGAGAATTAAGCCCCAGCAAAACCTTCAGTTCATCAGAGATGGATTCATTTACATTATCTTTGTATAAAATCAAAAAGACATAGATTTTGATACGTTTTTGGCAGCTCAAAATTCAAAGAAATGATTCTATGGGCCTTTTATTAAATTTTGAGTACAAAATTTCAGCCCAAGCACCAATTCATTCCTGGTGAAGGCACTGATTGAATGACAAGTCTTCTGCAGCATCAGTGCATTGACTTATCAGATATCATATACAAAACTGTTGGTTTATCAAGCTCCATTGCAATTAAAAACATTCATTTTTCATGCTTTGAAGACTGAGAATTTTATCTTAAATCTTATTTTTAATAAATTCATTAAGCATATTTAATGGCAAAAAAAATAAATTTTCATTTTATTATTATTTATAGGCTAGAGCTAGATTCATTCAGTGTTTTTACATAGTTATTCCCAAAAATAGTCCTTTTATACAATACCTTAACTTACCTTTTAAAGGAATTTTATTCCAAATGTTAAAATTGTTCTCTAGCTGATCATAAGCAATGCTCTCATCTGGATGGAACGGTGTTGGTATTGGAGGATAAATACCACTAATATCTAGTTCTGATACACCAACACCACCAGCTGTATTATCAGATTTATGTCTACAGGAAGCAACATTTCTCAATAATTTAGCACAATCCTTTTGTAGATTCCTTAATAGACAGTTCATTTTGTTATAATAGAGTTATAATATAGGCCTACCTACAGTCTGGCTTATACAAGAATGTTCAGAATTCACAATGAAGCCTAGATCTGGTTTAATAGCCTCTAGATAAGATTAGGTCTACTCTGACTTGAATATAATCATATCAACAGTTTATCTAAACAATGGTTAACTAAATTCAAGGTCACAACAACCTTTTTAAAAATAAGATAAAGAGTCTATTTTATATTGGTCTAGATCAGACTGAAAACAAAATACATATAAGCTCTTTAAATAGGTAATTTCATTAAAAATCAGTTTAACATCAATTGGTCTAGATAAAGGATATCATATCATTTAACCGTTGTTAATTTCCATGCAATTTTCGTAATTTTAATAACAAATTTATTCATTCAACTCAATAAGTGTTGTTTTCAATATAATCTTTGTTTAAGGGGAGACAATTTCATTAAACTTAGTTATCTCCCTTAACTTGTTTGTCAACTGAGCTTTCATATTTATCAAGCAAATAAGGCAAATAAGAATATTATTTAATATGCAAGCAAGAATTTAATGACACAATTGACAATTGTGTGCTTTATTTAAACTATAAATCGATTGTGGTAAGATAGTCATGGACGACTAAAATGTGTTCTAATAAGAGAAGTGAGTTCTGAAGAAATCATTACTTAAATTTTCTTTGGTAATGGCAGATGTTCAAAGTTAAAGCTAGAATGACAGTAGGGTCTTGGAAACAATCATAACAAATTTTCAACCCTGTCACTATTTCGTGATGCAGAGAAAGATTCAAGCTATTCTACGGCTAATTTCAAACATCATGATCAGGCAAACAGTTGCCTTTTTTGTCATGAAGTCATGAAATTAGCAACAAAAACACAAAATTTATCACAAAATCTTTATTTTGAGTGACATGATATGATTGTACAAAAAAATGAATAATATAATGTTACGATGAAAGAAAAAACTAAACACTGATTTGTTGCAAATTTTGGTTCATGGAGGCAAAATAACTATTTTGCTACACCATTTAATACAAAATCAGAACATGATGTGAATATGGTTAACTTGACATTTCTTCTTGTATTCATCAAACCAGTCTTCCAAATTGTTAGCATGATTTAAATGTATTCAAGGTTCATTAGGGAAGCCCCACACTTTAACAGTTCCTGAATCTCTATCTCTATCATGTTTATCATCACAAGCAAATGCTAGTAAATGTTTTTTAGGATGCCAAGCAACTGTAAAAGTTGGTGTTTCACATGGTATTTCAGCTACTTTTTCTCCTGAAATGACAAAAGAAACTGGTTTTCCACGGTTGTTTAAAGGGTGCCAGTTATATTTGTCTTATTTCATGTTTCTGCTGTGTCCCATTGTTTTTTTTTTCAGTTTTTAAAGGAACAGATGTTCCATTTTTTTTACCAATCATACTTTACTCTCAGAAACAGGATTTTGTTAGCTAAACCAATCAGTTATGGTGTTCACAGCTCACCATCGAAATTTGAGCCTTCAAATCCATGTCTGTCCAGACTTATCTGCATTTGAATGTTAAAATGATGACTTGTCAAGTTAAGAGACTCTGTTATATATAGTGGGTAAAATAAATATAGTAGGTTTGAGGTATTTTTAAAAGGAATTAAGTGATTTTCCAACATTTCTAGTACTTCTGTATACTATTTACATATATTCAAGACGAAAAACAACCCCCAAAATGGCGCATCTGTCCCTTTACACTTAGCCTCTAAGAGCTTATGAAGGACCTTGCAATAATTCACCCACTTATAGTTATATAAACTTATAAAAGAGAGATATTAGAGTATTATGTTTTGATCATCAGACACTAACACAATACATATATATACAAACCTGTTTCTACCATAGCTATATCTATAACTAAGTCTTCTGAAGCTGACGCTAATAACTGGCCATCATGACTGAAACTCAATGTCCGTACTGGCCAATCTAACCTATACATATGATTAAAGGAAATAAATTAATTATTTTCCGTTCAAATAGTCATAGATTATGTTTATGGAATTCAGAATTTTACAGCTGTAGGCCTGCTTTTGACAGAGATCTTGATAGGTCTGCTTAAATTATGATAACAAAGAGATGAAAAAATCAGATCATAATGTATTGAGGATTGTAGTCAGACTCTAGGTTAAGTGACGTAACCTGCTAAAAAATTTAACAAACTGTCTTGGCTCAATCTAAATATGAAACTAAAGACATTTTTAACTGATAATGTAAAGGCCTTCAACATGAGACCTATCAAAATCACAATCCAATTTCCATTCTCTGTTTATGCGCACACAAAAAATCTCACCTCGAAAATGTACGAACACAAACTAATTCAGACAAATCCCATAATGAAACTAAGGCATCAGTACTTCCTGTTGCAAAATATGTTCCTATAGGATCAAATTCTATACAAATACAGTTAGCAGGATGTGCTGTTAATGTATGGAGAGGTTTGAGATCAGGATAACTGAAATATATATTTGTAAATAGATATTATAACATCTGTAAGCAGTTGATACTAATCTAAAGGAATATCTTAAATCCAAATAGCTATTAATGTTTGTGTGGTACTTGTATTGTATTGTATTAAGTTGTGCTGTATCTATGGTTAAAAGACATGGTTATCTTATTTATTATTTTTGTAAATGCTGAATTACCTGAGTATGTTAATAGTTCCTTGACCACTTGTTAAAAAGAATAAATCTCCATCATTATTCCATGATATCTCATTAACTTCATATTTAAATTGTTCATCAGTACGTGATCTGTGAGTTCTAGCATCTATAAATGTTACTAAATCTTCTTTATTACCAACAGCTATAGTTGTACCATCTGGTGACCAACAAATATTAATATTCTCACCTACATAAATAGGTTAAATATTATATTATTATTAAGCTCTCACAATATTGATTATTTTTTTTTTGAATTTGTCAGTTGATACAAGTCAGTTTCAGAGATTGTTGCTTTCAGGAATTAAATCTGAAGTCTTGCCCTACAGCAATTCTACTAAAAATTACCATGGTAGTCAAAACAGTTGTACTTTCCAGGCTGATAACATTCATACAGGCAGCTTTAACCCATGATATCATGACAACAGAACTGCAGAAATGCATTATATTTTTTGTACCGTTTCACAGTTTTTACCATAAAAATAATTTTTATACTAATATCGAAGTGTTGCCTGTTTCATCATTTTATTACCTTTAGTATTAACAGTAGCAACAGATTTAGCTGATCTGGTATCCCAAATCCTAATAGTTTTATCTCCACTGGCTGTCACTAGTTGATCTGAGTTTTTAGGGTGCCAACAAAGTTGATCTACACTATCACCATGGCCTCTAAATATATTTTCTTTACCCTGTTAATAACATAAAGCAAAATAATGAATGTGAATTTCATGACCAGAGGCTGGTAAGAATCAATACCAATATGGCTTACCAGTGCTGCTTCATCATGATGGGCATCATCTCAATTCATTTCTAACTATATAAGGCTATTGCAAAATATTGTGTCTTCATGTGAGGTGTTACCACTTCAGAACTACTACTGCTAGTTCTGGGTACATGCCTCATCACAATAGTCTTTAATACATGATTAATAAAACTCCTATCCAATTCGATGACCAACAACCACGTATGTGTAACGTAAAACTAAATTAAATGTACAGACTAACCAATCTATCTCTTTCTAATGAATAAATACAAACAGATTTGTCGAAAGAACCAGATGCTAGTCTTCTTCCATCGCAGCTCCAGGCAACTGAATGAACTTTTGCTGTATGCGCAAGTGTGTCTCGTATTCTGTTATTGTTGAGAAAATGTTTTTGAATGTTTTCGATGTAAGCTGACATGTTGAAATTCAGAGCCATCTATAATAACAAAAGAGTTAAATCCCCTTGATAACCAATTCGTCCATAAACCCATTTGCCCCAAACTTACTTTACATTCTAAGGTCAAAGCGGTACTCGAAATTGAACTCTTTAACTTTGGAGTCTGTTATTACCGGTATTTCCAAACTCTGAAGCTTGACTGTTTTCCCCAACAAAACAGAAGTAAATGCGTTTGTCAAGTACAATATGAATTGGTTTTCAGAATAATGAACATGGCAGGTGATTCGGCTGAATTAGAAGGTAAGCCTGATCTGATTTCCATGCATGTAGGCTACTACTAATAGGCCCACCAATGTCAATGGCGAAATGATGCCGAGAAAGTGAAAAGAACAAGACAAGTAAAGAGTAATGATATTAAAAACAGATCTATTTACTATTGATGAAAATTGAATCCAGCGAAATATGAAACAAAATAGATGGTTATTTTAAAATTATCTAAGGTGCAACTGGCAGAATCTCAGTGACAGACTGCTAGATTAGGAACTGATGCCATCAGTGATGGAATTTCATTTAAAATATCAAAGTTGCTGGTTAGGCCTATCTAATCTTTCATGTAAATATTAAATCTGGCATTTGATTCGAGCATTTGGAATTTGGAATCTGCAACCATACCCCTTATTGCAAGTGTAATAATGAGAATTCTTTCTAGTGGTGCAAAAAAAAAAAAAATTGTTGACTTGAGATATTTAACTTTTTAAAAAGATAAAGCAACAGTAGTACAGTCAAGTAACCTAATTTTGTGCTAACCTGTTTTTCGTGCATTTCCGGAAAGGATTAATAATTTCCATGTGCGACCTCGTGTGACCTCCGCATTTGCTTGTTTTGATAAACATGAGTTATCTTTACAATGTCAGCAAGCAGAATGAATCCAGTAGTTTCAAGCAAGGTAAACTGTATTAAAGTTTACTTTGACAAATACAAAATGGCAGATTTCCAAACGTCACAATTTTTTATTGGTCGAATTTCCTTATTTTAACAAATAAATCACGCTACGTATCTTATTTTGTCAGTCACTATTTTTTTTTAAATCATGGTTCTTTCAAGGAATTATCACTAGTTATTATGAATAGATATTAAAGATAAATACTAAGAGAAGTTAATTATACCACTGGGTATCTATACAACGTGTTTTTCTAGACTTATTTATAGATCAAACATTGTACACGAAAATAGGTGACACATTTTGCCGCCGTTGTTGAGTTGGTTACTCTTGAAATATGGGTCAAAGTGAGGGATTCGAAAAAAACCAATTTTAATTATTTTGTAGAATATCTGAGGAAACATCTAAGACATAAAAAAAAATTTCTGTGTTTTTAACTTTGACGAAATTAGGTGTTGAATCCTTATATCCACGAAAATAGGTTACAGGTTGTTCTCAGTTTTTGTTGTGTACGGTATCAGATAAATTTATTTTTTCAACCCCTCTGATCTGCATCATTGACCTTAAAATCTGATCTGTTTATGGTCAGGTTTGGTGCAACAATCTGGTTTGCTGAGTCATCATGACTACAATGAAACTTTCTAAAAAGGCCTAGTTTTCTGACATCACCCTGAAATTGACAGCTGTTCAATACTGGTACATAAGATAAACTGTAATAAGAGAGCAGATGAAAGGACATCAAGTTTCAAAATCATCATATGAAAAACAAGTTTGATGTCTTAACCCTGTTACCAAACCCGATGTCACAAATTGTAGTCTATAATTTAAGGGCATGAAATGTTTTTTAAGATTTAAAAATAAACATAATACAACCCTCAGAGTTGTACAATACAACAATACATAACAACACACACAACACATACTGGTATTATTATATTCTATTATATTAAATAGGGATCACAGATTTAGTTTGTTTATTCTTCTAGAAAATATAAAGACCATAATATTGTATTTTTTTATTACTGATTATTTTCTTGAATAGATCATTGTCACTTTACAATTTCACTGTATTCTGAATACATTTATTTCAGGTTGGACTCTCCTTTTTGTAATACAGAATTTCATTTTGTGGTTAAGAACAACTTGCCTCTACATTACATGAAGCAAGAAAAAAAAAATGAAAGGGAGCAATTAGATAATTAAACTCAGAGCAAAAAATAACTTAAAAGGACAATTTTTACTTATTTCAGTGTATTTCTCGTAAAAAAAACATTTTACAGAAACCTGTCAGATTGAAACTGCTTATGTTTTAAATATACTTTCTGAGCTCAATGGCAAATTATTTAAGAGATGAAGAGAAAGCCTTTAAATGAGAACAGATATAAGATTAGTTTTCTTCATTGCAAAGTTATTGAGTAGCGTAGTATGCTCTGTGACAACATTCTTTTTTTTTTTAATTGGACAGGTAGCAAAATAAAATATGAGGCCAAAAAGATAGCGATAGGGATATTGCTTGGTTGCAGTCACTGTATTCTCTTTAAATTGATCTAATAAGATCAGTGGTTTTAACAACTTGGTAATTTTATCTGTAAAGGGAAGTCCAGTATTATGTTGAATTGTAAAGAAAATAATTTGTTGTTATTTAAAGAGATTGTATAATGAAATAATGAGATGATTTATTGCGGTTCAGTGTGTTGTTTAAGTTCACACCATTTCACCTATTTTATTGATTATTGAACATAGAACTATCAAGTTATACAGGCTGATCTCACAGCTCGGACAATTATCTGATCTGTCGCTTTCTTGTCATGTTATGGAATTCTAAATGATAAAATCAATGTTCTATTGACAATATAGTCTGAATAACAGTGCAATATGGCTACAAATACAGGTAATTTTCTTTTCAAATTTTTCTTGAAAGGTAATTGCGTTATTTTAGTTGTCGTTGAGAACAACGAATGATTATAACATAAGAGGTACAGTGGATTTTTTAGACATATATATGCACATTTGAACAGGTCTTTAAGGGTAAGTGAAAGTCCTTTTTTCGGGGACATTTTTTGATGTTGATAGCAGAACCTAGCATGGTATGTGTAATGATTTTGGTAAAAGAAATGAAAGGATATTTACTTTGAAATTGTTTTGATAGTCTTAGAATGATCTAGCATCATTAGATATATAGTTTTATAATTTTGCATTTGATTCTCTGAGAGGAAGGGTATTTATATTAAAACTCATTCTAAGACTATATATACCAGTATGGATACTGTTTTTACGTCGATATTGCAAATCATATAATTACAGTCAGTGAAGATTATTAAGAATAAATAAAATACTAATACAGAAAATAAAAGCAGGCAGATAATTCACAACTAGCAGAAGTCAGTTTTCAAAACACAAAACCTAAATTATCAAAAATAAATTGATTTTTAGACCAGATATGACAAATTTTGATTATGGTAATTTAGCCAATTGTAAATATATTTGTCAATCAATTCTCTACAGAGTTTTGCAAAAACTGACCAATCAATATGTTTTTTCATGCGTTTCAATTTAAAAATATGAATTCATGCACAAAACGCATGAATATTATATGAGTATCGGCAACCCAGCGGATATGAATAAGGTTATTTTGATTGGATAAAATTCACTGCCTTTTGAGATACAATTTACCATGGTTTGTCAATTTCGAACTTGACTAAGATATCGTCATGTACGCATGTCAAGTTTCAAGAAGATCTTATAATTGTTGCCTCAATCATTTTTCAAACCAAATTTGACAAGGGCAAAACAAAAACTATACCACGGTCCTATCAGATAATTGATAAGGGTGTGTTGTTGAAATGACATATTATATGCATTCATGACGCTTTGAGTCATTGATAGATGTGTGTTTTATATCTGATATAATTCTGTTACAGGGATTAATTGTCATATTGTGTCTTGGTGATTTTAAATAAAGTAGTTGTTATTCTGTTCATAATGACTGTTAAATCAACATTGCATTATAACATAACAAACCTAGATCTTAGATATTTAAAAATGAGAAAATAACATTTCAATTTTGTGTAAATTTTCTCCTTTTAAGTAAAAGTGTGTGCAAGATAAAAAGTAACCAGAATTGTTTCAAGTTATTCTTCACTTTGTAGGCAGAAGTATCAATTACACTTTCAATTTTCAAATTCTTCATTTAATGTCTAAGCTTATAAAGGGTATAACTTGTGAATTATAATTTCATTTGCTTATAACCTAAAACACAGTCTTATTTTCAAATTTTGTTCATATCAGTTTCAACTCTACTTTTTGACTAGTAAATGGACATTTTGAAATGTCCCAAGTAAGTTGAAATATGTTAAATTGTCTAATATATTTAGTACAGTCTTAAAGTACAATCAGAAAAAGTTCTTATCTATTATAATTTTTCTAAGGTTTATTTTATGTCATATAAACTTATGATGCAGATGTATACATTGATAAATTGACCATTTCAGTCGTTCATCTGTTTTAACATTTGTAACATTTCAACATCAGTGAGATTTCAGTTACTTGTGTCGATTGGATGAGCTGCTGACTCACATGTAAGCAGGACTTTAGAATTTGGTCAACTCTTGCCTTAGCTGATGTCATGTGGGAAGCAAAGTGAATCAAAGCTAATTTTGCTGTTGTATCTGAATTGAATGTCATTGCATCTGAATTGAACTAAATTAAATATAACCTCTTGGATTACTATCACATAGTATCACTATCATACTGTCACATGGACTTGGAAAGTCCCCTTAAAAACCTGTCAAAAATCTTAATACTTTGAAAAATCAGATAAGGAAATAATAGGTGCCATGCCAAACTCATGCATTATTTTGGGGAAAAAGGAACTGAGGTGTCTATGAGTATAATGTGTTCAGTTATTGAAGCTTATTGAAAGTATAATATACAGTATAAATAGTGTAGTATAGGTATTTGTTGACTATATTGTTGTTGGTGTTTACTTGATCTTATAATATTGATTATATGACAATACAAAATACACATTTATCATTATTAATCTTCTAGACTTCTAATCTATTCTATTATTCCTCCCTAATAACAAAA